TGCTAACGTGAATTGTCTATGCCATGCTACAATGTGGGATTCAGAAAAAGATGCTGAAATGTCTGAAAGGTCGGACACAGGCGAGAGCGTATCGGGAGACGGAGACCAACCAGACCTCCCTCATCCTTGGCCCTATCTCAGAGGATTTTTAAGAAATCTAAGAATTGAGCTTTCAGTTCATATAGTGGCATCACGCTGGTTTTTTTAAAGGTTACTTTATACTTTTATAAGTAGTGATACTTCAACTTTTACCAGAGTGTTTTTAAACTGCAGCATCTATACTTCTACTGAAGTAACAAATGTGTGAACTTTTGACACCGCTGCCTATTCTCCAGTCGTGCGAGAAATTTTTTGATCGGGCTGAATTTCAGCCTGATGGCTTTCAGCACAAAATAATCCAAATATCCAAGGCAGCGCGTTTCACTCTAGTGAGCTTCATATTCCTCTTCTACTGGTTTAGCTTCTGGATAGACGAGTCTGAGTAGCGCCATCTCACTGCGGAGCTTAGTCCCACCTGGTTTTTAGCCGTACAGTGTGAGCAGGTAGATCACATCAGAGCATCGGGTCGCACAGTGTGAGAGCAAACACGTTGAGCTTTGAACTTTTCATCGTACAGTTGAGCTGTAGCTGCGTGCAATGATTAAAAAAAATCGTACAGTGTATGCCCGGCTTTAGGAAAGGAGAAAGATGGACAGCTTCCTGGAACCGAGGTGAAAGAATGGTCTCAAGGCATTTTAAATCGTCTTCATTTTTTAAAGCAGTTAGTCTGTTATATCCCTGGGAGAGGATATTGGCTAAGGGGATCTTTCTTTATTTTAGTTTTATTTATTACCAGCATTTTATCATCATTCCACCATCACACGTACAAAGAAACGAAATTCACTCTCTGCTTTAAACCCATCCCGTTGGAGAGCAACCCAGTCTCATGGGAAAATGTACCCTCACTACGTTGGTCCACACTGCAAAACGTAGTGGAGGTACATTAATGGCCATTTTTTTGTGGTACTGTTACGTTTCTTCTGCCTATACGCTTTCTATTGTTTTACGTCCTAGTCACGTGACTTTCAAGATTCCAGCTGGGAGAAGAAAAAAATATATATATGGCCGACATTCGCTCATTTTTTTGTGGAAAGATTAATAACTTGAGTTTGTTTTTGCATTAAAATTAGTTTTGATTACATTTCTAGTGAGAAATGTATAGTTTGTTGCCAGAATATTTACTCAGGGAATGTACATATTCACTTGCTTGTTCGTTTCTTGCAAAGATTTTTCAAGATAATGTGAAACTGTAACATTTTGGTATAAACATGGCTGAGATTTCTCTAACTTTTAGTGGGAAAATCAATAATTTCAATCAGTTTCTGCATTTAAATGGGTTTTGATTACATTTATAGCGAGAAGTGTAGGGTTTATTTACATAATATTTACTTAGTGAACATACATAATCACCCGCTTGCTAGTTTTTGCTACAGTTTTTCGGATCTCGTCAGGATTATGTGAAATTGCAACGTTTTGGCTGCTACCCATCGCCTAGCATTTAGCTGCCGCCCCGATTCAACATTGAATCCTTTGTGATTTAACTCCATCTGACGGATCAAACCCTCGCCACTGCGTGCGTTGCGTCTGAGGATGATTTTCAGATCAATGCATTACGGATTCCAAAGCAGTTTTAGAAAGTATTCAGGGAGAAGGAAATAATAAGAAAGATTTAGTATTAGAAATTGAGATTATACAGGAGTGGCATTGATATTTGGTTTTGTTGGGTTCCAGCACATGAAGGGGTAAAAGGAAACAAATTAGCAAAAAGGGCTTTAGAGGAGGCAATAACAATTACAATTCCTTTAGGGAAAGGGGAAGGAAAATCATTTAAGAGGAAAGAAACTAAAAAATGGCAAAAAAGGTGGAATGAAGATAAAAAAGGAAGAAGGTTATATAAAGTCAGTATTAAATAGAAATATTAATGAGAGAAACCGAAGGGAAGAAATAATAATGATCAGATTAAGAGTAGGTCATACTTATTTAAATGACAATTTATACTTAATAGGGAGGAAAAATAATGATAAATGTGAAGGATGTGGAGAGATAGAAAATGCAGATGTATTGATGAACTTTAAAACATCTGGACCTGAAAGGAAGAAATTGAAAAGAGGACAGGCCAAGAATGGAGTCTTAAAGGATTATTGGGAAATAAAGGAAATATAAAAGATATTTATAGATTAAGGAAAGCATTATTTATTTATGTTCAGAATACAAAATTAAAAAATAGAATTTAATAGATGTAAAACAATGTTGCTACACACTCAGTAACAGTAGGTGGCGGTATGCCCGCCCCTTCCCTAGAGCCCGGTGGGAGCGAAAACATTTTGAATGGAAATCAGTGGGGAGAAATTAATAAACTTCTGGTCCCAGTCGCTCTCTGTCACTGATTCCAGATATGCTGGTTGTGTATTCAAATTGTTTTTTGTTTTTTTGAGTTCCTCTTTGGTCAAAATCTGGTCAAAACCCATCAATGAGATCGCACCAAACAGGAAGTTAATTGCACAAAGGATCCGGTAGATTTCCAAATAAAACACATCCGATCTTAACCCATGATCCTTTTTTTAACTAGTTTAATTAGTTTCTCCCGTATGCCACGACGTAATGCATTGATCTGAAAATCAACCTCAGACGCAACGCACGCAGTGGCGAGGGTTTGATCCGTCAGATGGAGTTAAATCACAAAGAATTCAATGTTGAATCGGGGCGGCAGCTAAATGCTAGGCGATGGGTAGCAGCCAAAACGTTGCAATTTCACATAATCCTGACGAGATCCGAAAAACCGTAGCAAAAACTAGCAAGCGGGTGATTATGTATGTTCACTAAGTAAATATTATGTAAATAAACCCTACACTTCTCGCTATAAATGTAATCAAAACCCATTTAAATGCAGAAACTGGTTGAAATTATTGATTTTCCCACTAAAAGTTAGAGAAATCTCCGCCATGTTTATACCAAAATGTTACAGTTTCACATTATCTTGAAAAATCTTTGCAAGAAACGAACAAGCAAGTGAATATGTACATTCCCTGAGTAAATATTCTGGCAACAAACTATACATTTCTCACTAGAAATGTAATCAAAACTCATTTTAATGCAAAAACAAACTCAAGTTATTAATCTTTCCACAAAAAAATGAGCGAATGTCGGCCATATATATATATTTTTTTCTTCTCCCAGCTGGAATCTTGAAAGTCACGTGACTAGGACGTAAAACAATAGAAAGCGTATAGGTAGAAGAAACGTAACAGTACCACAAAAAAATGGCCATTTATGTACCTCCACTACGTTTTGCAGTGTGGACCAACGTAGTGAGGGTACATTTTCCCATGAGACTGGGTTGTGGAGAGCAGTGGGCAGCCATTGTGCAGCATTCGGGGAGCAGTGTGCAGTTAAGGGTCTTACTCAGGGACCTAGAGTGGCAGGCTGTGGGGCTCAAACTCAAAACCTAAGGACCCCCACTGGCAGCTCATTCCCCCCAGTTGGGATAGGAACCCAGGCTTCCTGTTTGCAGGACGGGGGACTCACCACTTTAACTAGCCAGTGGCTTCCATTGGGGGTATACCTTTAAATGTGGGCCATAAATGTTTCTTTTAGAGCTTCGTCTCCTGCTCTGGATAGCAGTTGGCCATTGCTCTGCTCATGTCTTCTCTATAGATGGTGTTTCTGGCATTATTTCAGGTTTCAGTGAAAGCTGTTCCACACCAGGGGGAGGAGGCACTAAACCTGGACATAGCTGAAGGGAGGAAAACTCTGAGGAGAGTCAACCCAAGGAAGGCCCCAGGGCCTGATAACATACCTGGGCAGGTGTATAAGGAGTGGTCAGATCAGCTGGCTGGTGTCCTCACAGACATCTTTAACACCTGGCTGGACCAATCCATAGTGCCAGCATGCTTCCAGTCTGCCTCCATTATTCCAGTCCCAAAGAAGCCTCAGGTCGCCTCCCTCAATGATTAGCGGCCTGTCGCTCTGACTCCCATCATGATGAAGTTCTTCCAAATGCTGGTTAAAGAACACATCGTCTCCAGTCTGCCGCCAACATTCCACCCGTTCCAGTTCGCCTACCAACGGGACCGCTCCACTGAGGACGCCATCTCTGCTGCTCTCCACCTGAGCCTGGCACACCTGGAGGAGAAGATCCCCCACGTGGGGATGCTGTTCCTGGACTTCATTCAGCTTTCAGCACCATCATCCCACAGCATCTGATGGGCAAACTGGAACAGCTGGGCTTCAATACACCCCTCTGCTATTGGCTGCTAGACTTCCTCACCAACAGACCTCAGTCAGTCCGGGTCGCACCAAGCTCTTTAGACGCCATTTTAAAAAATGTTTTGTGGCGGTTACTGATGTGCTTTCCCACCATCTATGGATGTCCAATAAGCATAATTATGTAATATCTCTCCATATTCTTATTGATTTTTCCCCTGATAATGAAAAGCCGATAATATAATGCCTAGATTTTTGTGAAATATGCCAGAATTAGCACTTCCACTGCCGCTCCCAGATCCCGGATGACGTCATTAAACCCGCCAAACAAGTAGAAGAACAAGAAGAAGTCATCATTAAACTGCATCACCCGACTAACTGTGTAGCAGAAGGCAGCTAACAAATATAAAAATGTCTGCAGTGTGGAACTTTTCTGAAAGTTTCAGATGATGACTTGAATTTTGCGGTTTGCAGTGCATGTGAGGTCCTTGTCATGCATGGGGGAACCCGGACTTTGTCCTTCAACACTTCTAATTTAATATCTCAGGCAGGGAAGCTCTACCGTAAGGACACACCTCCGCTTCACCTAGACTCCACGTAAAAAAATAAAAAATCCCAAAAGTGGGTGGGGCTAAGCTACACAGAGGTCCAGAAGGGGTGTGGTTTCTCCTGGTTTCTAAAATCAAAGCGTCTGCTGACTAACTGATAAAGGTTCCTCTGATTCAGTGACATGGACCCTGGAGAACTGCTGTACTCACAGAGGGAGGAGACGTGCTTCGTCCAGCCCAGGCAGTCCAGATCAGTGGGGGTGCTGTGAGAGAAGCAGTGGTTCTGCAGAGACCTCCCCCAGAACGCCCCGCTGTGCTCCATGGAGACTGCCTGAGGAAACAACAGGACTTTATATTAACAAAGTGAGCATGAAGCAGGAGGAGGTTAGGGTAGAAAGAGCTGGAAGACATCAGATGGAGGCGGAGGGCAGGTCTGATGGAGCCAAACTTCCTGTCTTACTTTGGGAAGGTTGTCAGAGATGAGAGGCGGCCATGCTGCCTCTCCCTCTGCATGGCCTCAGCGCCTCCATCCAAACAGCATCTGAACACTTTGCTCTTTGTTGCTCGGGAAATGCTGTGGAAGCTCTCCTCCAGCCAGGAGCTGGTGCTCCCACAGCCACACACAGAGGCCTTTGTCTGGGCTGGCAGGCAGGGCGGCATTGTTCTGTCACCTTTAGAGCGCAGAATGAGCGGTTAGTCAAAGCAGCTCCATCTACCGCCGCACTTCCCATAGAAACTCTAAAACAGTCAGAAAATAAAAGAGAGGAAACGGGATCTGCAGCCTGTTGGTCTGTGTTTGCTGGCATCACTTAGATCACAGGAGCATTTAAAACACACCAGGAGGGAGATTCTATCAGTCAGGCTGCAGAAAGCAACAATGGGAGGATCTCTGACACTCAAAGAGAAACTGAGGAAAACATATTTCTAGCAGAGATCGGATGAGAAACTAGATCTAAAAACACCAGATAGAAAAAACACAGACAGCTTTCAGAGGAGCAGAGAGAAACAGTCAGAGTCTAAGAAAAGGGAAGTGCTTTTATTTGATTATTTATTATAAATTATCTTTCAAAAATCTTATCTAATCAGCTTATTTCTATAGCTCCAATTCACATCATACCATCTCAGGTCACTTTATAGATCCAGATAAACCAGACCATCCAGTCACATTGATTCAAAGTTTTCTATCTAAGGAAATCCAGCTGATTGCATCGACTCATTGACTCTTCAGCAATCCCTCACACTAAGCATGCTTGTAGTGACAGTGGAGAGGAAAAACTCCCTTTGAACAGGAAGAAACCTCCAGCAGAACCAGGCTCAGTGTGAGCGGCCATCGGCTGAGGCCGACTGGGGTTCAAGGAGACAGAAGCAGACATAGAAAAAGAAGCATAGATACAAAAGGCAACTGTCAACCAGCTCCACAGGCGGCCCCGTCCAGGAAACACACAGCCAGGCAGACGAGCTCCAAGAAACTAACAGATTCTGCAGAGTGGGAGAATAGAGATAGAATGAAGCAGAATGATGAAAAAGGGGTCCCTATGTCCTCCAGCAGTCTAAGCCTATAGCAGCAGAACTATAGAGATAGTCAATGACGTCTCGCTTCCCATTCCAGAAGCTTTGTTGCAATGAAAGCTGGATTTTTAAGTCCAGCCACTCTGTTTATGGTTGGTTTTTCTTTCTTAACATAGATGGCATGTTGGACACAGAAGACAGGAGTTTGAGAGGCGTGTGAAGGCAGCCAACCAACAACCTTAACCGTAAACCGAGGGGGTCGACTCTGATTTCAGATTTCAAAAATCTACAATGCATCGATAGAGTTGATTCCCATTATCATTGCAACGCCACCCCCCTATTCAGCCAGGCCAACAATTCCCTCCAGCAACCCCCCCTTTCAGAGACATAGACAGGTATGGGGCATTACAGGTGATGTGATACATTGTCCCTGACCCGCAGTAAAAACACTAGCTTCGTATATTAGTGTTCTATTTTGGCGGTGGCTCTGCACTGCTAACGGCTAGACAGAAGCGCTCCCAGCTGAAGGCTACGCTACATACTAACCAAATCAGAGAAGTCTGTGGTAGCTGGACTGAGCCAGACTGCCTTTTTCCTGCGATTCAGAAGGAGCTGAACGCAGTGTATCCTGAAACCTGCTGCATCAGGATTCAGGACAAAACAGCTAATCCAGCTCTGCTAACCACCGAACAATGGGCGCCCTGATCTCTGTTCGCCAAAGGAGCTGTGGACCGTGACCGCCTGTGAGGCAGAGAGATGGAGTAGTGCTGAAGAAGTGCTGCTAAAGGCTGCAGCTACGTGCTAACCACCGTAGCTAAAAGGGAGACGTCCGGCATGCTACTATGAGTTATAAAATGAACCCCCTTGCAAATCGCCTCTAATTGTTGCATCCGATTGATCCAAATCTCTTTGAGCTGCTGTTGGACGAACAGACTGGACTGAAGACAGGCCTGCAGCGAACCGGACCGAGCTGAAGGCCTTCCCTCCACCAAACCAAACAGTACCCCTGGGGCCAGCTAAGCTAACGTTCTTTCAGCCTCATCATAGTTTAATGCATTCCTGACTCATTATTCATTTTCCACAACGGAATGAAACTTCACTGTTTTGACTGCAGTTAACATCTGTGTGTGTGTCAGGGTTTATTTACATTTTATCTGCTCCTGTTATAAAGGACACTTTCAAATGCATTAAGCTTAAACTTCAAACATCAATAGACTATGAACGGACTCTTAAACCCTTCTTCCCCTTTTATTTCTTTATTCCACTTATTTTCAGTAGTGTTCAGTGTTTGGCTTAGATATTAGATATAATACTGTGTGATTGTAGCTAATAAAGGTGCATTTTAACTCGTGGTCTTTTGCGCTTATTATACACAGTGAACGATTTATCACTCAGGCTGGATTCACTCTTCTTTCAGTAGCATCTGAATGAACTGAGACACATTTATTTGGTTGGTGATTAATAACGCTGCTAAGAGCCAAAGCCTAAATTACTAAACTGGTGAAAGACAACTGGATTTTAAACAGCCGATTGAGGAGTCCAACCTTTTAGGAAAGAGGCTAAAACCCTGGTCAGTAAGCAAGTTACAGTTATAATCAACTGATAATAATAACTAGTTTTACCCCTGGTTTGAATAACTCATTGATTAACTAACTTCAAGTTCTAGTTATTTAATATATTCATAATCTTCTGGTTAGCTAAGTGACACAACACAGGCCAACAAAAAACCCAAACGACCCCCATTGCAAAGGGATGGACACTTCTGTTTGAATTTGCATGTTTTCTAAACTTAAACAAGGCTTTGTTGGGCTACTGTATAAAACCTGGAACTCAACGCTATTTCTGACATTTTGAATTGAAAAAGCTTCATGGGTGGGAAGAGAAACGTCTCTAACTTGGAAACAAATCGAGTGGATTTTTTTTTTTTTTACTTTTTTGGAAGTAGAATAAGATTACATTCAGTAACAGCAAAGCTTCACTGCAAATTAATCTGACATCTAACGACAGGAGAACAGCAGACAATGAATCAGTCCTATTTAACATAAACTGTACATTAAAACAAGTCATTATTCAGTAAAGTTACTCATTGTTAGTAACCAGACATTTTACTCCAGTAATTGTAACCGAGTAATTATAACTAGTTACTGCTCACCTCTGAAAATACTGAAATGATCCCAAAGCAAAATGAATAAGACAGATAAAGGACACGTCTCCAAGTACAGAGGGACTAAATGAGAACCGGCTTGAAGCCAGTTACATGGATTTTTTAAACACAAGTTCAAGCCTAACCAAAACACATGAAGGCCCGAAGCTAATCCACCACCACCCTCCGCTAGAGCTAAAAACATCCTATCTAGGCTGACAGGGCAGAGTGAGGCCGCTCCTGATACTCTGACCCATTACCCCACAGCCACCATGTTAACAGGTACTCCATATCAGTCAAGTTACAGTCTGTTGACCTAGCAGATGTTTTCTCTCTCACCTGCAGCTGATGGATGGAGCCGCCGTCGTAGAGGCAGATGTGGCACTGACTGTCTGTCCACCTTCTGGTTCCCTTCAGAAGTCTGAACCCCAGAGCCAGAGGCCTAACAGCTGGTTTGAGGCTCTTGGGTCGTTGAGGAAGGCGTGTCCGTTGCACCACAACGGCTGATGGACCTCTCAGATTGGCTCTGGTGCAGTGAGAGGAAGGAGCTACCAGCCTTCGGCTGTTAGTCTTTGGGCTGTCTGGACTCAGAGGACTCTCAGTCACACCGTGAAAGGCTCCTGGCTGGAGCCTGGACTGACCGGACCAATGCTGATGACTTCCTATGGTTGATGAGGACAGACTGGAATCGTCTACAACAGGTTGGCTAGAAGTGCAGTCCGTCCTCTCTCCCTCACTGACCGGGGAAGGCATACGGTCTCCCTGGAGACCAGGCCTCATCTCTGACTCCAGCTCTGCCTTTTTCAACCCAGTCGGGTGGTTTAGGAGACGAGAGCAGTGGATGTCTCCTAAAAGGGGTGAAGCGTCTATCAGTCCCTCAGAGGATATCAGGTATCCTGGGCACGCACTGATGCTAGCAGGCAGACTGAGGCCCATAACAGAACATGGATGCTTAAGCGTGTTGACTTCTGGTGGTGAGGTTGAATGTGTCTTCTCTTGGTTCTGAGCTGGTCCATCATCAGATGAGGCTGAGAAGTTCTCTGTTGTTTGGTAAAGGCTCCTGTGAGATGGCAAACCCATAGAGCACTCTGCTTCCTTCAGCTGACTCTCAGACTCTGAACTCTCTGGGGTATCTGGTTCATTAGAGACCACACCTTCACCCACGGTATCCAAACCAGCTGGGCTTCTGTACAGATGACAGTGACCACTGATCTCTTCCTCCCTCTGAGGAACTGGTTCTTGTCTAATGAAAGACCCAACACTGAAAGCTCCAGAGAACAGCGAGGGAGGTTCCTCCATTTCTCGGATGTCAGACAAACTAATCCGGTTGTCATAGGAATGGCTCCGGCATACCAACAGATCCTTACCGATGACTACTGTTGTCCAAGTTGAAAGGCTATAGGGCTGATCATCCTCTGCAGCCTCCTGCTCTAAGCATGAATCAGAGCCTGTCTCCTCCTCAAGGAGTTCCTCCCCCATGGACATTGAAGGAGGTGGGTCATCCTGAGAAACCTTCTGAGCTACATGTGGAGGAGAGGATGTTCTCTCTGTAGATGAGGTGTCATTCAGTGGGGCGGGTTCTGGCTCTTCTGGGAGACACGGATCTGACCCGCATGTTGTTGGCAGGGTCACTGTGTGTGAGCCACAGACATCCTCCAGCACCTGAACCTCTTCTTTCTGCCTTTTTGTGTTCGTCTTTGTGCCAGGTACCTCTGGGGTCTTTAGGCTCATAGAACCACCTTCTTTAAGGGGTTGACAGACTGTGAATATATTCATTCTGTCACATTCTGTTACATGATCAAACTTTGTAAAACATTGATCTGTTTTGTCTTTATAATCCTCCACCATTTTATTCTCCACAGAAAGGGTTTTGCCTCCAGAACTGTTGCATCTTTCTAAGGCAGAGTTTTTGTCCTGGTAGAAGCTGCTGAACACGTTTCTGTTCTCACCATCCAACATTTTAGACGCCTCGTCATGTTTCATCCTGGGAATTTTCAGATCTATCTCTCTGATGAGAGGCCATGATTTGTGATTAGGCGAGATTTGCTTTTTCTTTGTGTCCCTAATGTTGTCCTTGGTTGGATCTATTGGTACAGTGCAGGTCTCTGAGTGATGATCTCCATCCAAAGGACGGAGATTGCTTTCTACAGGATGCTCATGCATTGTAAGACTTGGAGCCTCCTGCAGACGTTTAACATTGCCATCAAATATTTCTGGCCTCAGGAGGAGCTTGAAGGAAATATTAGCCTCTATATCTGGGCTTCTCCTTCTGCTACAACTTGACCGCCTTGCATAAGTCTCTGTTGCTTCTATGTAGCTGGTTCTGACTAAAACTGACTCTCTCCTTTGAGGGTAGGTCTCTCCTAACAAGCTAACACAGTACCCTCTGAAGGAGTCAACATTTTCCTTAAATGTGCCGCCTTCCTCTATGCTTCTCTCACATCGGTCCAGAGAATAACACCCCTCCTTCAGGGCCAGCTGTTCACCAAGGCTTAGCGGCCCTCTGAGGGTCTCATGGGACTGCAGAGAAGGAGAGGGAAAGACAGACGTCAGTCATGTAGAATAAGCAGGAATTTACTCAAAACAGAATAAATTCTGGGTTTTAAAATGTGAGAGCAACTTCATTTCATTTCACATGATTACATTTTGGTGGCTGAATTCTGATGATGGTCACTTTCTAATCATTGTTGTCCTTAACTTAAGATAGAGGGGAGAATGGGTTCGGCTACACCAAAACCAGTGAACACAAACAATAAACAGATATGTTGGAGGTGGTAAATGTTGTCTTATCTGGAGAAAAAACTCTGGAGAAGCACTTGGTTTGTGTTCATCAGATTAATTTATTTGATCTCACAGAAACCTGGCGGCAGCTTTTCATTTTTAGATTACTTCATGCTATATTATTCCTCTTTTACCTCTTTTACCTTTGGTTTATTTTGTATAACAAAGGAGAAATATCACAACCGTAGTTGGATGTTTAATTGCAATGCGACCCCACAGTCCAAAGTGAAATGAGCTGCAGAGACAAAAACACAGCAACATCCTAGACTGAAGCTCAGCATGCGGTCAAGTTCTCCAGAACGCATGCTTGACTAAGGCCCCGTCCACACGAAGTCAAAACGAACACGAAACGCTGATATTTTCCAAAACGTTTGCCGTAAAGACGGAGACGTAAAATAAATGTGAGCGTCCACACGAATGCATGAAAACGCTGCAAAATGTATGCCAGGCCTGTAAGTGGCGCTGTGGTGCCAAAGCAAAAATAAGCGACGAAATGTTGGGCATGCGCACTAATATTTATACATGGTTGCCCTGCGGGTCCATTTTCGTGGTTCAGTCAAATTCAGGTGCTGAACTATGTGGTCGATATTGCTCTGTTCTTCCTGGAGATATTCCAGAAGAAGAAGATTCTGTTGTAAGCCCGACAGCAGGGTGAGTAGCATTAGCAGCAACGGTGCCATTGTTGTTGTGATGTGTCGCGCATGCGTGTTTAGAGGCGACGCTATGATGCATGCGTGTAAAAGAAAATATGTGGTTAGAGCGTAAAGATGAAAACGCGAAAACGGCGTTTCAGAATCTTCCCACTCTGAAGGCTGAATAAAAAAAAGATCGTTTACAGACCCCCGAAACGCCGGCTTCGTGTGGATGAGAGGCTGGTTTGGTGAAAAATTTGTGCGTTTAGGCCAGGGTTCGTCTTCGTGTGGACGGGGCCTAAGGTGTGTTAATGCAGAGGCACATCTAAAAGGCACATCTAAAAGATCCAGGATCTTGAGAGCTGTAATTGTGGAACTGTGCAACATACTGTTACAGGTGAAACTGCCTCCCTGACCAACCATTGATCTATCGATCGTTTTCTTTGCTACTCAGAACAAATGAGCTACAAGAAAAAAAAAGCGACTTTCCAAGTGGAAAACCCCAATAAAGAAGTATTGTAGAGAGTTGTTCTAAGTTGGTGCTAGTGGATGAGTGGCATTAAACTTAATTGAATGTCCTACAAAACATCCATTCAGCTACTCATGTTTATAGTCATACTTTGGACCTTGTTCTGACACAGGCTTTGCTTGATTAATAACAGTACGCCCTCACAACCCTGTCCTGTCTAACCGCTTTGTTTACTTTTGAGTTTAGCTTATGAGAGCAAATCAGCTTTGAAACCAAATTTCATTTTAGCTGATAATTATCATACAATTTAAAAAAAAAAAACAGCTTAGCCAAAGTCCGGCTGCCTGTAATTGACAGCTGTTTTGTGGCTCTAGAGAAGATTTTACTCAGAAGAATGGATCCTAAAGGGAAGAATATTGTGGACAACCCTGAGCATTTTCACTGTCAGACTGTTGAACATCAAAAGAGTGTCTTCAGACAGAGGCTTCTTGAAAGCTACAGCAAGACAGACCTTTCAAGACAGTGTTTCATATAGAATAGAATAGAATATTTGGGAGGTTCACAGAAGACAACAAATAAAGAAAATAATTTAAAAAATTCAATCACCTGTAATTTAGACATGAAGACAAGGGGTAGCATGATTGGTAGGGTCCCTATGTCCTTCTTAGGAGAAACATTAAACATTTTTAAAGTTCTACTTACTCTCCAGATTCTCAGTGCATCACTAGTGCTCAGAACTGCTGCACAAATACGTGCAGCAAACCAGCTCAGAGCTGCTCCCATGGTTCCTCTGCAGGCTTCTCCTACCACCACCACATGCTAGTACCTTCTGCCTGCATGGTTCCTCCTTGTCTCTATGCGTATTATACCAATCCCCAAATCTGAAATGATGCATCCATCCATTTCTCTTCAACCTGAAAAGAAGCCATCAGGAAGAGGAACTCATCCACAAGCTCTACTGAAAGTAACAGTGTGGTCCTTCAGCAGCTCCGCCCTAATCCAGCCTCCAAACATTATAACAGTGACCTGTGCGTAACGGAGAGAGACGCTTAGCAGCCCTGCTATAAATACAGCGCTGCAGCTTCAGGCCGTTAGCTCCACCACATGAGGACACGCTCTCTAATGAGAGCTAACACAAATCAGATTAGCTAACATTACAGGCCAGGAATTAAGCACCATGGAGTCATTGAGCAAAAACCCATGTGCTGCAGTCTTCTCAATGCTGCCTCTTCTAGTTAGTTAGTAAGTTAGTTTTTCATGTCCCTGAGCAAGACCTTTAACTCCACACTGCTCCCGGCGGGCGCCACACAATGGCAGCCCACTGCTCCCCTAGGGGATGGGCTAAATGCAGAGGGATAATTTCCCCATAGTGGGACAATAAAGGATTTACATTTTTTTTTGATGAAGTCAACACTTAGTTTTGTGGTCCCCTCACTCTGAGTTGTATCAAATGACAGTAAATCCACCCTGAAGGAGCTGGTTTTCCAATCTGCATGTTCTGCTTCTAACCGACCATGCCTGTGAACCACACTAGTTCATCAACATTTTGATTTCCCTTGAATCAAGCACAGATGAGTGTTTATAAAGAGCTTAAAAGCTTAGCAGAGCTACCTTTCCAGCAAATAGTGGAGTAGTAGATTGACTCCTCACTGCGGCCATCTGAGCCTCAACATAATCCAGATTACCAACGTGCTAAAATACTCCAGTCATGACAAAGTGCAAAGGAGGGGGAAATATTGACCAATAAAAGAGTGGAGACACTTTATGGTCTTATGGTTATCTTCCAGACTCCTTCTCTGCTTTAGATGTTACTAACAGACCAGAACTATTTTGTGTCACTTGATATTTGTGTTTTATGACAAACAAGGATCCTTTCTTGACCTCTTTTTAAATTCTGTTTACGTAAATACGCTGATGATGAGATTATTTTTGCGTCCCCACAGAGTCCTGTACAATACCTGAGTCAGAACGTCCACTAGATCATGGATGGACAGGTCAGACTCTCCTACAGCTTAGTACAGAACAGACAGATGTTATTAGTGTTGTCCCTAAAAGAGCAGCACTAAACTGTGGTGTTGTCTGGCATTGGCCTAACTTTAGCAGACATGAAGCCAAATAGAACCGATAAATCAGTAATCCCATGGCTGTACCAGGCTAAACATTCAACATGATCAAGTTATATCCCAGGGCTTGATGTTAACCATCGCCCGATCGCAAGTAGTTTTTATTGTCGGGAGAGTTTATAAACCCATAAACAGACCATTGGTGAGTTTATAAACCCATAAACAGACCATTGGTGAGTTTATAAACCCATAAACAGACCATTGGTGAGTTTATAAACCCATAAACAGACCATTGTTGAGTTTATAAACCCATAAACAGACCATTGGTCAGTTTATAAACCCATAAACAGACCATTGGTGAGTCTAAACCCATAAACAGACCATTGGTGAGTTTATAAACCCATAAACAGACCATTGTTGAGTTTATAAACCCATAAATAGACCATTGGTGAGTTTATAAACCCATAAACAGACCATTGGTCAGTTTATAAACCCATAAACAGACCATTGGTGAGTTTATAAACCCATAAACAGACCTTTGTTGAGTTTATAAACCCGTAAACAGACCATTGGTGAGTTTATAAACCCGAAAACAGACTATTGGTGAGTTTATAAACCAATAAACAGACCATTGTTGAGTCTAAAGATTCATAAATAGACCATTGTTGAGTTTATAAACCCATAAACAGACCATTGGTCAGTTTATAAACCCATAAGTAGACCATTGTTGAGTTTATAAACCCATAAACAGACCATTGGTCAGTTTATAAAACCCATAAACAGACCATTGGTGAGTTTAAAGATCCATAAATAGACCATTGGTCAGTTTATAAACCCATAAACAGACCATTGGTGAGTTTATAAACCCATAAACAGACCATTGGTCAATTTATAAACCCATAAACAGACCATTGGTGAGTCTAAAGATTCATAAATAGACCATTGTTGAGTTTATAAACACATAAACAGACCATTGGTCAGTTTATAAACCCATAAATAGACCATTGTTGAATTTATAAACCCATAAACAGACCATTGGTCAGTTTATAAACCCATAAACAGACCTTTGTTGAGTTTATAAACCCGTAAACAGACCATTGGTCAGTTTATAAACCCATAAACAGACCATTGGTCAGTTTATAAACCCATAAACAGACCATTGGTGAGTCTAAAGATTCATAAATAGACCATTGTTGAGTTTATAAACCCATAAACAGACCATTGGTCAGTTTATAAACCCATAAATAGACCATTGTTGAGTTTATAAACCCATAAACAGACCATTGGTCAGTTTATAAACCCATAAACAGACCATTGGTGAGTTTAAAGATCCATAAATAGACCATTGTTGAGTTTATAAACACATAAACAGACCATTGGTCAGTTTATAAACCCATAAACAGACCTTTGTTGAGTTTATAAACCCGTAAACAGACCATTGGTTAGTTTATAAACACGAAAACAGACCATTGGTGAGTTTATAAACCCCTAAACAGACCATTGGTCAGTTTATAAACCCATAAAAAGACCATTGGTGAGTCTAAAGATTCATAAATAGACCATTGTTGAGTTTATAAACCCAAAAACAGACCATTGGTCAGTTTATAAACCCATAAACAGGCCATTGGTCAGTTTATAAACCCCTAAACAGACCATTGGTCAGTTTATAAACCCATAAACAGACCATTGGTGAGTCTAAAGATTCATAAATAGACCATTGTTGAGTTTATAAACACATAAACAGACCATTGGTGAGTTTATAAACCCATAAACAGACCTTTGGTCAGTTTATAAACCCATAAACAGACCATTGGTCAGTTTATAAACCCATAAATAGACCATTGTTGAGTTTATAAACCCATAAACAGACCATTGGTCAGTTTATAAACCCATAAACAGACCATTGGTGAGTTTAAAGATCCATAAATAGACCATTGTTGAGTTTATAAACACATAAACAGACCATTGGTCAGTTTATAAACCCATAAACAGACCTTTGTTGAGTTTATAAACCCGTAAACAGACCATTGGTTAGTTTATAAACCCGAAAACAGACCATTGGTGAGTTTATAAACCCCTAAACAGACCATTGGTCAGTTTATAAACCCATAAAAAGACCATTGGTGAGTCTAAAGATTCATAAATAGACCATTGTTGAGTTTATAAACCCATAAACAGACCATTGGTCAGTTTATAAACCCATAAACAGGCCATTGGTCAGTTTATAAACCCCTAAACAGACCATTGGTCAGTTTATAAAACCCATAAACAGACCATTGGTGAGTCTAAAGATTCATAAATAGACCATTGTTGAGTTTATAAACACATAAACAGACCATTGGTGAGTTTATAAACCCATAAACAGACCTTTGGTCAGTTTATAAACCCATAAACAGACCATTGGTGAGTCTAAAGATTCATAAATAGACCATTGTTGAGTTTATAAACCCATAAACAGACCATTGGTCAGTTTATAAACCCATAAATAGACCATTGTTGAGTTTATAAACCCATAAACAGACCATTGGTCAGTTTATAAACCCATAAACAGACCTTTGTTGAGTTTATAAACCCGTAAACAGACCATTGGTGAGTTTATAAACCCGAAAACAGACCATTGGTGAGTTTATAAACCCATAAACAGACCATTGGTCAGTTTATAAACCCATAAACAGACCACTGGTCTGTTTATAAACCCATAAACACACCTTTGTTGAGTTTATAAACCTGTAAACAGACCTTTGTTGAGTTTATAAACCCGTAAACAGACTATTGGTCAGTTTATAAACCCATAAATAGACCATTGTTGAGTTTATAAACCCATAAACAGACCATTGGTCAGTTTATGAACCCATAAACAGGCCATTGGTCAGTTTATAAACCCATAAATAGACCATTGGTGAGTTTATAAACCCATAAACAGACCATTGGTCAGTTTATAAACCCATAAACACAACTTTGTTGAGTTTATAAACCCGAAAACAAACCATTGGTGAGTTTATAAACCCATAAACAGACCATTTGTCAGTTTATAAACCCATAAACAGACCATTGGTGAGTCTAAAGATTAATAAAGAGATCATTGTTGAGTTTATAAACCCATAAACAGACCATTGGTCAGTTTATAAACCCATAAACAGACCATTGGTGAGTTTATAAACCCATAAACAGACCATTGGTCAGTTTATAAAACCCATAAACAGACCACTGGTCTGTTTATAAACCCATAAACACACCTTTGTTGAGTTTATAAACCCGTAAAAAGACCTTTGTTGAGTTTATAAACCCGTAAACAGACTATTGGTGAGTTTATAAACCCGAAAACAGACCATTGGTGAGTTTATAAACCCATAAACAGACCATTGGTCAGTTTATAAACCCATAAATAGACCATTGGTGAGTTTATAAACCCGTAAACAGACCATTGGTGAGTTTATAAACCCGAAAACAGACCATTGTTGAGTTTATAAACCCATAAACAGACCATTGGTCAGTTTATAAACCCATAAACAGACCATTGGTGAGTCTAAAGATTCATAAATAGACCATTGTTGAGTTTATAAACCCATAAACAGACCATTGGTCAGTTTATAAACCCATAAATAGACCATTGTTGAGTTTATAAACCCATAAACAGACCATTGGTCAGTTTATAAACCCATAAACAGACCATTGGTGAGTTTAAAGATCCATAAATAGACCATTGTTGAGTTTATAAACACATAAACAGACCATTGGTCAGTTTATAAACCCATAAACAGACCTTCGTTGAGTTTATAAACCCGTAAACAGACCATTGGTTAGTTTATAAACCCGAAAACAGACCATTGGTGAGTTTATAAACCCATAAACAGACCATTGGTCAGTTTATAAACCAATAAACAGAC